GTAAAATTACCCTAACCCAATTCAGGGTGAATACATATGATAACATAAATCGATCTCCTCTCTTACACATAACAGGAGCCGCCGGGGCAATTCCAGATGAACAGTACAAGTCCTTAATATCCTCGAATATATATATAAGCAAATAAGAACGTTTGCTAAGGCACATTCAGTCGAGGAAGAGATGGAGGTCTTATGGAAGATATTAAGATTTGTATTGTTCATCTGGAATTGCCCCCATGGCTTTTGTTATGTGTAAGACAGGAGATCGATTTATGTTATTATATTGATTGACCCAGAATGTATTACCAGCCTCGAATTTTCTAAGCCATATAACCAGTTATGCCTAATTATGCAATAATCATCAGTCAAGCTTTTCGGGTATTTCTTATCATAGCCACCTGTTATAATACATTATCAATTTGTATCGTTTTGTTCTGTTTTTTTCAAAAGAAAAAAACAAATTCCACTGTTATCACAAACTCGCTTTGATTTGGTTTCGCAGATTTACAAATTATTTGCACAGAATACAAAGTAAAAGCCTGATGAAAGCAATATACTACTACTACTACTACTACTACTACTACTACTACTACCACTGTTACTACTACTACTACTGTGGTGCGCGCTACTTATAAGTAGTATATGACGTGAGTGTAAACGTAATGTCTGGCAGCATAATATGGGGGAAGATCAAGAAAGGAAGAGTTAGAAAACTATGGAATTTGTATGAAACGCATGAATAGTGAGTGACAATGGATTGATGTTTTGCAACAGGAACAGTCCAGTTCGATATGATGGACTGATATTTTGCAAATGAACAATTTACGATATGGTTTTCCGATTTTACTACTGAGTAACTCTGTAATTTTCGTTAAATACAATTCGGTTTCCTCACCTGTGTTCTCGTTCACTACACTACTACTACTACTACTATCAAGAAAAATGTGGGCATTTTTCCACTCGCTCAGTCGAGAGATAGAATCCGAATGGTGGAACTCGAAATCTATACGATTGACTTCAGTAACACTGACACCTCACTCATTACCACATCTAGCCGCATTCTTCATATACATTGATTTGATCAATCAATGATTGTTAGATCACCATAAGAAACCTGAAAGCATTGGACGGCCGCTTTGTCCTTGCTTGGGACTCATCATCAGCAGTACGCATCCAGGACTCTTGCACCTCGCAGGATCCGAACTCAAGATCTTTGGTCTTACTAGCGAAGGCCTAACCTCTGAGCCACTGGGGGTTCTCGTTAAGTCATTACTAAATCGATCAATGCAATTCAATTACCGATGAGTATTTCGGTAGTGATTGATAGAAAGCATCAAATCAATTATTTTTCAACAGACTGACAATCATTTTAAGAAGCAGATTAAACTGAACAGCCATCTTGTACACCTGTGATAAAATTAGTTTACAATAAATATTGATTTTAAATGAACAAGGAACATTTATTTAGGGGAAAGTCATTCAAGAATTGATATAAGCTAAGTTGTGATCATATATTAGCTTCCTGTTTACTAAACTTATATTTCTGATCTGCTTTCCGGACACTACCAGCAACAACCTACTATGGCAGAGAGGAGGAGGAAGTCAGGAAGAAGTGCTGAGAGTGGATAGGACACACACTGAGGAAGGCACTCAAATGCATTCATTACAAGCCAAACTCTCACTTGGAATCCTTAAGGTCAAAGGAAAAGAGGAATACCGAGGAACACATTACCCGGAGAAATGGAGAGAGACACGAGAAGAATGAACAAAAAACAGTTGGACAGAACTAGAAAGTAAAGTTCAGGACAGAGTTAGTTGGAGAATGCTAGTCGGCGACCTATGCTCCATTTGGGGGGTAACAGGCGTAAGTAAGTAAGTAAGTAACACTAAACTGAAGACTGAATTTTTTATGTTACTACTACTAAATCACCCAGTAGTATTATCCCATTTAGTTGATACCTTCAAGATGAGTCTATTACTCCATTGTAGTGTATATCGAAAGATTTAATATCAGTTGCATTGGAGATTGCTGGTCAGAGGTCTACGCTCCACGAAGGGGCAACAGAAGTAAATGAGCGAATCGATTTGCTTAGTTACTGTTAATTACTGAGGGTTGTGACATGTAAACAAAACCCACACACACTGAAACTACTCGAAGCTATCTTGATTGGTCGGAAAAGTCCAACTGTATGTGTTCAAAAACAACTGTATGTTGACCTTTGTTTACCATGGTTCTAGTGAGTGAATGTCATGCTAAATAAGAAATTTTGACCTTATCTTCAAAACTGTATTTACACAAATAACATGTGGCTTGTATGTGACTGACGAGAAAGCACGAAATGGTACTATCTCACAAAATATGTCTTCTTATTTCTCTATTCAAATTTATCAAAGGGAACCACTGTTTTGAATTACTGAGGGATTAATAAATTTCATTTCACTTTGTTACATTTGACTTCTACCCATCTGCAATAATTCGAAAGGGAAAGACCCAGTTCAGTTTGGATGACGTTACTAATCTACTGAGTATGTCAAGTCGTCTTCACGGTAATATGTGAGTTCCATTTTGTCTTTACGTGGAACTATCGATCCTTTAGTTTATGTAGATCTTGGGGAACCCGTTCAAACATGTCCACCAATGCTCCGCTCAAGACTTTGTCGTATCGACCTTAGGAGACTGTTAATTGCCCTAACTGCTATTCATTGCATGGCTTCATTGGCTTGATAATCCATGCAGGACACCGAGAATAAATAGTGAAGCCTGTCTTACCACCACTGACAACTGGAATGTGTCAATTGTGGTTCAGATCAGTTTTTAATGTGTCCGTTGTCAGTTATCCGAACAATTACAGATTTTCATTTTATGCTTAGTTTATACTTATTTTCAGGCAGAGTAGATCAATCAGAGTTAGACATTAACACCTTTGGATGCCGCCAACCCAGTGGTCTGATGGTTAGGCCTTCGCGCACAATACCGAAGGTCCCGGGCTCCAATCATGCGAGGTGCAGGAGTCGTGGATTCGCGCTGCCACCGATGAGTCCCATACCAGGACGAAACGGCCGTCTTTCAGTGCTTCCAGGTTTCTAATGGTGATCTAACAATGATTGATCGATGATTTCAAATATGTTAATACACTTTCAATCTTATTTTCTCCAATGTAAATATGCCTTTTGAGCTTAATCTAAACACCAAAACAACTGACTAGACACCTCATTCTAACAAATATTATGACTTTGGGCTTGATGTCTCTAACGCAAATTCAATCATTCATTATTCAACTACACAAAACTCATGAAATAATTATCAAGGCGAATTGTGTAGTTAAGCTAAATACCACACCACACTAAGTGTAGTTTTCAACGAATCGGAATGTCCAAAACAGTCAATAGCCTCTGAAAAGGTTCTTAAGTATATTAGAAACACTCAGTGGATGATATGTAGTGGATCCAAAATTTATGATGAGAGAAACATTCATTACCAGTGATTGTTTTACTGTGCTTTTTAGTCTTTTAAACTGTGTATACACGCCAACTTTCTGTTTGTATTGCTGCCATTGTTGGCTCCACCTGCCTGTGTAATTTCGCTCCTATTTTCCGGCACGATTTCGGTATTGTTTCGATACCACTAAAATCACCAGCAAACAGATATTCTTTACCATGGAATAACTCTTCTTGCCAGTGATTGACGGACTCGTAATTGCTGTAGTGGTGATCATAGTACATAATGACTCGATTGCCACTGCAGGTAAGTCAGTTGATAATTGTGAGAGCTATCGTAGATCGTGGTAGTTGAAACATAGGATATAGCTAACCATCTACCTTGGTTTGCTATCCTGGTAAGCATAACAATGAACTAGTCAATTAGCTTATAAGTTGCAAGAGCATGCCATTAGTTCACTAGTTGAGTTAATAGGTTACAACTATGAAGAACTGAATAAAATATCTGTCACCTGATCACCTGATTTTATTGATTATATATGTGATCTCAGCACCATATGGCTCAAAATCAAACCTGGTTGGGGTCGGCGAGACGAAAGTCACCGATGGTTAGAGACCATGAACGACATCGCTCAAAATCGTTTGCAATGGCGCAAGTGCATCTACCATTTGTGTTCTATGAAATTCTAGGCTTTTGCATTCCTCATCATCTCTACCTTTCACCTTCTAAATTTATCTTACTGAATTATAATACTTCTCGAATGATATCTTCGAACAGTAATCTTCTCCATTACTGCTAATACTTCTATTATTGCTATCACTCTCGGATTTGAACTGACAGTTGCGTCTATGTGCTATACTGTGGTATGGCAACCTGAACTGATGTACTTATGTACGAAGTTCTGCGTTGTATTTGTCTGCCAAAATCAAAATGCAGGTGCATCCATTCATTGTGTTCTCAACAAATTCTAACCTTCTAAAATTTCTCCTAATCATCTCGATCTTTCTCTTTCTAACTTCATCTCACTAAAATTATACTTCTCGAATCATTATCTTCGAACAGTAATCTTCTCTATTACTGCTAATACTTCTACTATCTCTACACCACTATACGATTTGAACTGACAGTTACGTCTCTGTGCTTATGCGGTATGGCAAGGTAAATTGATGTACGTATGTACGAAGTTCTACGTTGTAACTGACAGACAGATTGACTGACTGACTGACTTAGCACCACTAGTGTCTATGCATAATCATAGAAACAGTGAAGTAAAACAACCGTTACCTTATTGAACACACAAGATCAGTATGCATAAATAATTTTTACGTAATTGACCTCATCAATAGTTTTACAGATCATGCAATCGCATAGTTTCTTAACTGAATTCAAGCCCAGCAATAAGAACATGCAACCGCACTCATCCTACAACCGCCATCCTAACCGCCATCTATCTATCTCTCGTTTATCACTTAGTTTAAAAATATCCCCCCCCCCACACACACACACACATAGAATTGCTATCGGAAAAAAAAATATCAATCAACACACAAACAGAACTCACTTTAACACCAACAGACTAGTTATGTCATGTTCATTGTGTGTACAGTGAGATATTTGCTCACTCACTCTCTCTCTGCAGATCACTTCAACGAACTAACTATCTCATGATTTTGATTTTGATTTTTTTTTGGTTTCACGGGGATAAATGAGAATATACACTATTCTCGTTTGGATAACAATAATAATAATAAATCCTAGTATTAAGTTGATGATGCAAATGTTTGCATTGTTGCATAATAAAATACATCGATTAGAATGGATTCTTGCAAACAGACGAGGCAGAACACGACGTATAACAGTTCGTTTTTTTTGGCATCTGTATTATGTATATCCGTGTTTATAATATGGTTCTTCGTCTCATAGATGATGATGATGATGATGACGACGTTGAAACTCTACAACGACTATTAATTGTGAGGACGATGATGATACTGATGATGATGATGATGATGATGAACAGAATGAGATGATATGTGTCTGTCTGTCTGTATACGTGTGTGTGTGTGTGTTAATGTGTGTGTTTGTGCAACTCACTGGAATAAATCCCGGAAAAACAATAGATATCTTCCTTTTTGTTATTAAACCTTCTCTCTTGAAATTATCGCCAAGTCTGATTAATAAATATATATATATATATGTAGATATATATGTTACGCTATAAACCTTACGCAATGCAATAGTATGAAATAGATGACTGTTAACGAATTTGATTGGTCATTGAAATTTCAGCTATGTGCATCTATGTATCTATGTATACTATATTCACGCGCGCACACACACACACCGTCGTGTGTGTTTATTGAATGTGCGTCGATATACACTTGCCAATGTAGTAGTAGTAGTAGTAGTATCTAGGCCAGTTGGTCTGATTTAGAGAACTAGATAAAAAAAATTAGGTTGGTGGAATTGGTGTGTGTGTGTGTGTGTTACACTGATGATGATCGTGTTGCATACAAATAGGATAGATAGATAGATAGTTAGTTAGATAAATAGATATACACTTATATAGAATCTACACGACCACATACAATCGGAGAAAAAAACAACGCGCAATTTTTTACATATATCAATGTGCACAATGTGTGCGTTGTTCAAATCAAACATTTTTCAAATCGGACCAGTTAAACAAAAATAAATAACAACTTTCAAATCATTTCAATTTGGATAGTGTGGAAAAGTAAAAAAGATCTTTACTTTTTAACAATCCAAAATCACTTGTATGATACAATAAATAATGTACACGTGATTAGAGGAGTAGTTCAATCGGGTTTCGGTGGTAGGCAGTAACTACCGGATCCTTAGACTTTGACATTAGCAGCGTTGGATGCCATGCGGTCCATAGGTTAGGTCTAAGTGCTCGAGACCACAGGTCTTAGGTTCGAATCCTGTGAGTAGCAGGATTGGTGAATGTATACCACTGCTGATGAGTCCACATGACGACAGGACGAAACTGCTGTTCAATGAAAAAAGTGAAGATTTACAAAATATGCACACAACAAATCAAACGAAAATGTTTGAGTGCAGCATAATAATCTCATAATTAGCGTCCACTAGAAAATTGTTTTAAATCGTAGTTTCTCGCCATTAGCTTGCAAATAAATTATATTTACTTAAATTATGGGGTTGTGAAGATTGTTAAGTTATACATTTTTTTGAAACCATGAATCGATCAATGTTTGTAGACCACCATTAGAAACCTGGAAGCACTGAAAGACGGCCGTTTCGTCCTGGTATGGGACTACTCATCAGTGGCAGTGTGCATCCACGACTCCTGCACCTCACAGGATTCGAACACACAGGACCTTCGGTATTGTGAGCGAACGCCTAACCATCGCACCACTGAGCCGATATCTAACGGTGTTAATGTCTAACTTGATCAAATTCACGGAGTTGCGCAACCTCATACACAGTCTTCGGTATTAGTTACTGTCTACACCTGAACAAGTTGAACTTCACTGGTCACGTCTTCTCAACTAGAACTCGGAGAAGATTCCTCACGAAGTTAGTCACTAGTGAGCACAGATAATTTGCATTGTGGGGTTGTTGTGAAGATTGTTAAGTTTCCAGGTTTCTAATGGTGCTCTAACATGGATCGATTCATGGTTTCGAAAAAAATATACTTACTTAATTAAGCCAGTCACCTTTAATGGGCTTATACGCCGACCGATCAGCGAATTATTTTTGGCGAGATTAGGTCGCTATCGTCATGCTTGGATTTGGGACCGGCAGGAAAACCCTCTCAGAAAGGCTCTAGACGGATTTCATCATTATTAGTACTAATTACTAATTGAATGATTTAACATTTTAAAGTGCGCTCATTTTAATTTTCGAAAAAAAACGAAACTAAAACTAAATACACTTGGCCCATCTACCAATACATCCAGAAAATACAAGTGTTTATTAACAGCTGTCTACGAAAAATACTTCGTATTCGTTGGCCAGACACCATCAGCAACAACGAACTGTGGGAGAGAACAAACCAGATTCCAGTGGAGGAGGAGGAAATCAGAAAGAAGCGATGGAAGTGGATAGGACATACACTACGAAAAGCACCTAACTGCGTCACGAGACAAGCCCTCCTATGGGACTCTCAAGGTAAAAGGAAAAGAGGAAGGTCAAGGAACACATTATGCCAGGAAATGGAGACAGACATGTGTAGAATGAACAGAAATTGGACAGAACTGGAAAGGGAAGCCCAGAACAGAGTAGGTTGGAGAAAACTGGTGGGCGGCCTATGCTCCATTGGGGGTAACAGGCGTAAGTAAGTAAGTAAGTAATCTACCAATAACTACTAGAACTTGATTCTAGTGAGTGAGGTTCAGACAACGACAGGTTTAAGGTCAATAGGAACCAATCAACCAATCGAGGTTAACAGAACAAGCTACAGGTCAAACATGGAGAATTTCGAATACTTCACTTCTCCTATCTGAAGTTTGTGCTGATGATGACGATGTTGTTCAGAAGAAGAACAATGAAAGCTACACAACCAAATCACCTCCAGCTCAGAGAACGAAACACCACCACCGTGAGTGAGTAATCTGTTCAGATAATAATGAACTTTCGCGAGAAATTTATTATTTCAGTTGGCTGTTCATCAGCTTTAAATAATTTTGAGTTTTTTTACTGAAATTGTCACAACTAAAATTAATTATTGATTGCTTTGATTGTCAGAAGGGGGCTCATGACTTCTGAAGGAACTCGGAACGCATCATAACACTTCTAAATGTAGACCTGTTAACTCCCAGGGCAGAGTTTCAATGGTTAAGATAGATTTTTGGGTTAGTGTTTTTCTTTAACGAGTTAGTTTTCTAATGAATGGAATCGCTAACCCCATACCTAACCCTCCTCCTTTTATCCGTACTGATAATAGCCTCAGAGGGTATTCTGGCAGAGTTGAATGGTCACAACTGAAGATCAGTGTTTTATGATTTATTAAGCAACAAATATAATACGTTCTACTACATTGAATTAATTCAGTTAGTTCAACAATCAACGGTAAATATTTTTGTTTACTGATTGGTGGTCATATGACCGTCTAGATTTGTTTGGATCACGTGTCAAAATAAATTGACCAATCATAAGAATGGTATGTATGTCTGTGTATTTATTTATCTATCTATCGCTACAGATTATGTTCATAAACTAGGGTAACCAATTAAATCACAGTTCAGATGATTGAAGGTATTAGTTTTATCGTTTGGAAATTCCTAACGGCAACACACACACACACAAACAAACAAAAACTGATCAACGCATGTGATGCTGATGATTTAGTTACTTACTTTGATTGTCCGATAGCTAGAACATAGACTACAATAGTTTTTTTTGAACATTGCAGCTTGATGTGTGACAAGCACGATGTATCATGCCAAAATATGTGGGGGGTATGGGGTAAAGTTGATTTCAAGTAGTAATTGTTGTATACTCTCATTGGTAAATTACGAAATATCTTTTAGGTGTTATGTATTTTGAAGCTTTATGCCAAAAAACCACAGAGCTACTGACAATTATGGTAAAATAATTTTTAGAAAAAAAATAAATTTTTATGAACTTAGAGTAAAATAATAAACTTGTTTTAGAACCAATATGAAAACATAGTGTTACACCGGTTTCTAGGTATGCTTAAAACTATTGTGGTGTGTGCTACTTATACGAACGATATAAGTAGTATAAGAAGGGACGTGAAAGAAGAAGTCTCACGGTCAGAAGAGGAAAACGGAAAGCAAATGGAGCAAAAGCAAGAAGTAAATGGAGTAGTAGCAACAGGAAGGAAAGGAATGGAAGAAGGCCGGAGCGTTGGAAGTCACGACTCAAAGATGGTGTGCAAATAGAGTGTTCAATGCAATGTTTTCGTTTTTAACTAACTCAGAGTGTAAATTTGCATAATACAATCTTCCTCGCCTACCTCAGTCTTCTCAATTGGTGTCGCTGCCTCTACACAGGGTGAAGATCCCGTGGCCTCGGGAGTTTGAAGACGGAGATGTAAGGAGCTTCTTGAAGGAGTTCGAGGCCGTGGCGGAGCTGGTAGAAGTCAAGGAGCAGAGGGCGAAGGCGGTGGTTTTGGGGAGTCTACTAAGAGGCAGGGCGAGAGCGGTGTACGATGGTGCGGAAAACGCTGACTTGGAGGTGGTGACGGAAAGGCTGCTGGTGGAGTTCGAAGGCCCAGCGGATAGGCAGGACGCGCTGCAGAAGTTCCGAGAGGCGAGACTGACGGTGGATGGTGACCCACTCGTGCTGGCTGTGAAGTTGACAAGATTGCTGCGCCAGGGTCTGCCGAAGTTGGATGAGGAGTCGCAAGCACAGCTGCTAGCGTCGCAATTCATTGGAAGTGTGCCTGCAGAGGTTGGCCAACAGTTGAGACTGATGAACGCCGCACAACCAGTGGACGTCACCGAGCTGGCAAAAGTTACGAGACAGCTGATGAACTCGAAAGTCGCCTCGGTGGCATGTGAGAGACAGGCGGATGATGTCGCAAAGAAGATTGAAGAGTTACAACGCGAGGTGGCAGCGTTACGAATAAAGGGTGGAAGAAATATTAAATGCTATATTTGCGTAGGGACCGGACATTGGAAGAGGAATTGCCCAACAAGACGAAAGCATTACATTGTATACTCTATTTGCACACAATCTTTGAGTCTTGACTTCCAACGCTCCAGCCTTCTTCCATTCCTGTTGGTACTACTCCATTTACTTCTTGCTT